TTCCTTTTATCCAGGTTCACATTTAGAGACTAATTACCTAGCTTTATATGGGCTGGATTCCTTATAACAACCTTCTTTTTGTCTCGGTAGATTAACATACTTAATCAATTTAATTAATATTCTGCAGTACGTGCACATGCAAAGTACTAAAGTAGGTCACTAGTTCTACTTTGGCATGCTTGTGTATAGAACTGTAGAAGTGATACTAATAGGTCATGAAATTTATTATGTTTACTATTAAATACCACAAACTTAGTGAAAGCGTACTTTCGCTTGGATGTCATAATATTAGGTCTCCGATTAAAAATCGAATTAGTTGCCACACATCATCATGTTTACAAAAGTATATTGCATCGGGATCGAATATGTGTTCTATTACAAAAAACCATACCGGAAATAATATTCCCGGAATCCAGGACTAGGTTATGTTATAGACTCTACCTGTTCTGTATGGCGCATGAGGCAGGGACTGCTGGGTCCATCAGCACACAGTCTCGGTATACTATGTCAGCATTTACACTGGCTGTAACAAAACACAAACAAGTGCTTGTCGTCATCATAAACTACACATTTACTGGTAATACTGGGAGAAAAGCACTACCTTATAGGGGGTAGATCCTAGAGGCAAAAGACAGAATGCTCTTAATTTTATTCCTCAAATGATTATGATTTGCAGTAATAATGTAAACGAAAACTGCGAAGAGATTAGTAGGGTAAAAGGAGAAAAGGGTTCATAAGGTGTGTTCGTTGGTACTATCAATTAACCGATCATCGATTTTCCAACTCGAGTTTTTAACTGTATTTAACAACTCAGCGACACTTGAATCTATTGATAATTAGAAAGTTGATGAATTCATAAAACAGCTTGCCTATCTTGCTAGGTTAATTCAACCGAATATAAATACTCATTTTTTAATAAATCATTTCGTACTTTATGTTCAGTATGATTATTAATGTAGAGAATTTGCGATGTAGCTTACAAAATCTAGATCTGCAACAACCTATCTAAAAATCACTCAGACAATCTTACGTTTGATGAGTATTAGGTCAATTTGCATGGTGCAGGTGCCGGTGTAGGTCCCACACTTGTACACCTGTCCTGACGTTGGATTACTGGGGCACTTAACCAAACTCACGCCATTGGCCGTTTGTCCCGGAGGGGTGCTGGCACATTGAGGACTTTTGGGTAATACAATGCTTTGGAGAAATGAAGGGACGTCCTTGATAACCACGTGAGTACATTTAGAACATTCCAATCCTAAATAAAGCAAAATAAAATAAAGGACGGCTTTAAAATAAAACACGGAAAATACTTTACTAGTATTCTAGTATTACATTTATAAATTATTACAAGCATACTTCCCTCTTAATTCCCTTTTTTTTTTTTTTTTTTTTGCTTTTAGACAGATAAAGACATCATCCTCATTAAACGATTGGTTCATAAATAAGTATAAAAATTTATCTACTTAAGACGCCTTCTAGGGACAACTAGCTTTTAAGTCAATACTTAAGCATTAAGTATGTTTATAAATTACACTAAATAATATTTTTACCAATTTCAAGCAGTACTTAGAAAAGTTAAGTAAAAAATACATAATTTAAGTGATTTTTTTAACTTAGGAATATATTGCGAAGATTCATGAATCTCAGCCCTGGTTCCCTGAACTCATCTAACATTTTTTGCAGAAGCTTAATTATCTTTTTAAAAATGGTTATTGGCGTCCCTGGAGTGTTTTGTAGGGGGTTCAGAATTTTCATTTTCACTTTGGAGGGCAAAAAGGAATAAAGATAATTTGATTTCTGTTCTATAGACTTTTGTTCCCTAAACTCCTCTCACATTTTTCAGAGAAGTCCATTCATATTTTTTAAAGTAAATTTGAGGGAGGGGGGGGGGGGTCCTACTGTAGTATGCCATAAGATAAATGAACTTCGATGTAGTCACTGTAGGCAATTGATAGTCGGCACAAAAATCTTTTTCTCATAATAATTTTCCCCTGAATTTCTTTCCAATTTATTTTGAAGTGTTCAAACATATTTTGAAATTTGATTGATGGTGTCCTGTAGGTGTGCAATAAGTTTTTGAAATTTTTATTTTCACCGTTGGGATTAAATGAAGGCCCCAAGTCGATTTTTTCTTCTAAAACCCATCTTACATTTTCTGGAATTTGTTTGGTAGTGTACTAAGGTGCAATGAGGTTGAAATTTTATTTTCACTGTGTGGTCTAGAATGTTTTTACTACAAAATCCTGGTTCTAGAAGTCTTTTTACATATTTCAGAAGTTGTTCTCTTTTGGCAATGATTAGTATTGTCCATTGAATGAAAAATCTGCAGTATTACGTATTCGTATAGGAAAGCATAAGTGGGCATACTAACAGTCATAAAGTATATATTGGTATCATTTCCTCAAAGACAATACGCGAACGCGCGGTATTCAATTTGTCGGCACGGCCAGGTGTGTTATAGGACCGAAGACATCCCAAAATATGAATTCAATGCTTAAATGAAAATTAATTTTAATCAATTAGTGCAAATTTGTACACACCGAGATGTTATGATTGAACCATAGGGACATGTTTCCATTCTGCAATGACTTGGGTTATAGACTTAAATGAGTGTTTTCAAGCATAATGAATATTTTTTGTATACTAGAATCTAAATCTCTGTTTAAAGACACTATTTCTGATACATTTAAGTCAGAGTCTTAAAAGTCTCTTGGTAATTAGCAATGATAAGTTTCTAGATGCTGCTCCAAAAATGGTTCCTGATGCTATTTTTCAAATTGCTTTAAGGGGGATGTACGGCCACCTTTAGTGAAGTGAGAACAGAATGTAAACATTTCTTCAAATGGCTAAAGTACATTATATTTTGATCAAATTTTAAACCCTAATGATAAAGATACAATAAATATGCATAACTGAATGCATGTTGTGCATATATAATCTATACTTTTGCAGAAAAATGCTTTTGATATCTTCCTTAGAACTGCGCAGCTGCAGAATTCAGCAGAGCCTTAAAAAATCCCCAAAAATACGCAAACTGTGCATTAATATTCTGTCTACAACCATTTGTTGAGAAAATGTCTAAATTTTGCACTTTTAAATGATAATTCCAAGTTTAAAACAAGGTATCGTTGTCTTCAAAATGAGTGTAAAGAACCCTGAAAGTAGTTCATTGATAGCTGCACGTGGTCTATTTTTAGCACAGAATTTTGTTTTCCAGACCTCTTCTTAATATGGAGAGACATAACAATCTTTAAATGTAGAAGAGAATTACAATTGCAAAATATTTCAAATATTAAATATGAACACTTTTAAAAGAAGAATTGTGTTATAGTGTGGCTTGAAGTAATTTATTTGGTATTATTATCGAATAGTTGTTAAAAAGTGTACGTATAGAAATAAACTCTTTGATTCCAGGTAAGGAAAAATGAGCACCATCAAAGTTTAAAATTAAGAGTTTGTAAGTTTGCCACAGATAACTTATAATATCTATCAAAATTTTAATTATCACCAATGAAACACAAAGAAATTAAACACATAAGATCGATATGAAAAACCGTGTGTTAGTATCAACTAGTACGTGGGGTGATCAAAAAGTTCTCGAACTATCTCTATATGTACAAAACCACAATTTAGATTAGAAACAAATTTGGTGCACACTCAAGTTCTATAAATAGCATATGCTGAATAAAGTTTTGCTCACAATGTGAAAATGAAGTCATCATGCAGGTACTTGTGACGAAAAATGGTTGTCTCAGTGGAACTCATTCAACAAACGACTAAAATATTTATAGTATATCTTAAAAATGCCTTTGAAGTAACGTACAATCACGAAATTTTTGTTTCTTAACAGGACAATTGTAAAAGCATTTTAGAGTTGAGCAGTACCTTTTAAAAAGTGGAATTAAACATAAGGTGTTGTAAAATACATTCAACATACACGTGTGATATTTTCAGCATTTTATGTTTGAAAATAAGCAACCTGTATTAAGAGACCACCTGTGACTTTTTTTCCTTTCTCCGTTGGAAGGTCTCTTGATACAGGTTTGACTGTATATGAATTTGTTCATAGTTTATTAAGACAAATGACTTCCTAATAATTCAACCAATGATTGGATAGATCGTTTAGTGAAGGAAGACAGATGGTTGAATATGATACTTGTTATGTTGCCCGGTGAAAGCAAGTTTGAAAAGGGGTTTGTTTTTAATTAAGCAATATGCTATCAAAGATCTCCAATTTACATTTGAAAAAAACTTGAATATTTCAACAATAATATAACTATCAAATACCTAAGATATCGTTTACTTTTGCCCCCCCCCCCCCCCGTATACTCTGTCAATAAACATTACAATTTTCATTACAGCGGAGCAACATTAGAAAAGGAATAAAATCATTCAGAGTGGGTTAGGAGATTTAATTAATTTTTTTTTCTATTTGCCCATTTTGTCAAAATTACAATTTTACAGAGTAAAGAAAAAAATCAACATAATTAAATATTTTATTCCATCTTTGAAATGACGTTTGGTGGACCTCCCAACTCAGGGAAAATTATTGGGTCCGTTTTTATGGTGAGAAAAAAAAATTCTTTAAAATTTAAACATATTTGTTGACGGAAGAAAAAAAAATATCCTGTAATTGGATGTAAAATAAAATTGAGTCGGACCATTTCTAGGCAGTAGATCTGGAGAGAGGGCATCCAAATATTTTTATAACAAATGGTCCTATAAGGCTAGTACATACTTAGTAATGCAAATTTTTTTAATCTTTGGCACTATTTTGAAAATAGAAGCTATTAGAACATAGGATTTTCGGAAGGGGGGGGGGGGTAGTCTCTCATTTTTTTGCGATGATAGACATAGCATATGCAATGGACTTTTGTTTGCAAACATTGTGATTGCTTCTAAATTTCTAAGAAACAACTCAATATATTTTATCAAGCTTCGTATGTTCAATAAAGTAGAGCTTACAACGTAGTCAACATAATGAGACATGATGCGTTTTTATGTCCAAACATTACTCCATACAATGTGTTGGTGATTGCAAACAATCAAGATATTTACGTGAGGTGCCTGAAGGAAATACTTTAACTGCCTATTTTTTCTATCTAACTGCTAAACAAAAGAGACATATGTACCAACTTTTCGAATGTAAGACTTGTAATTGCAATTTGTTTTTCATGCACTGCATATTGTTCAACATTTTCAAATTAAATGCTAAGCATCCTCCTTGCAGTGCCCCATTTCAAAATAACTTCTATCGCCACAGAAAAAAGACCCAACGTAAACACAAATGTTTAGGGCATTTTATAGCTTTTTTCTTGAGTTTTTAAAAAAACCAACAAATTATCAAGCTTCTTCCACAAAAATTAAATATTATCATGGTAATAAACGCATCTATCCACAGCAGATATATGCATCTGCCAACCACGTGCTCAGTGTAAGAATATTAACTAGGAAACTGAGCCACAACAGAACAGTTTTTCCCGATTTGCTGGAGTGGGGTTAAAATCGCGTTTTTCATTAATCAGACGAAGCGATGCAACAAATAAAAGTAGTAAGTAATATTACCTAATGGTTATAACTTAGTAATTTTTTGTCTTGATGTTATTATGGTCGCATTTATTCAAAAATCAATGTTATTGAACTCTGTGTGACAGAGGAATGGCGGACGAAATAAACACATGGCCTCAGGAAGACACACATATGAAAAATCAAATTTTCAAGAATTTTATATAATGACAAGAAAAAAGCGAAACAAATGGTTGTAGCCATATTATCAATGAATCAAACAAACACCATTTTCAATGCATTTTTCATCTCGTGAATGCTGTAGCTGCGCAGTTCTACCATAATTAATTTCCTCCTAATTAAGACACAATAAACTTAATTATTTACTAATTTTGGTCTCTAACAGTAGGTTACTAGTGCATTAACATTTTGAGTAACTTTGGGCTAGTTTAGACGAGTATTAAGCGCATTCTTGGCATTTCTTATTTCATACCAGAATAGATCCAATTGGTTTGTACATCCCCCTTAAAAAGAAAGATATCTACAGCAAACACGATAAATAATCAATAACATAATATTTTCTCAGAAAGTCTGAGAGAAAAAGGACAAGGAGGTAGTTATGTTCATATAATTAGTTAATTACTAATCATGATGATTTAAAATTGAAACATGCACTTCATTTACATAAATTTCTGGTATGGCTGTCTTTAAAAACTAGGGCTTTTTGACTCTAGTTGTATTTGCACTTCA